TGTTAATTTTAGTTGTGTAATACTTGTAATAATTAAAGAACTTCTATTTTCATCATAATGCCACAGCACTGAAACACATTTACTTAGGTTTTATTATTCATAATGCTTGATTGAGAGTGACACATTTAAAAAAAACAGACGCTAAATCAGCGGGAAGCTATCAGGCTTCTTGCAGCAGCAATTATCGATTTTTTTTCTTTCACCAACTGCATTACTATCAATATTTACTGGGAAGAAACAACAAGAAAAGTTCCCATGAATCTGTACTGGATTCTTTGTGCTCACAGTATTGCACTAACAGTTATCGAGTGGCCCATAAAGAATGAGGGTTATAGTATTTTATGGATATCTCGGAAACTATCCATCAACTATCAATATCTGTTTTTACTTGAAAGAGAATTTTCTTACCTACAAATTCACAAGAACACATATTATGCTATCATACAATTTTCTCATTACAAAAATATAAAGAGAAAAGACCTTCAAAATCTAGTACATTCAAAATACAAAGATGGACAATCTTGTATAAAGATTCTCATAAGGATCTTCATGGCTCAGTAGATTTATCAACTATGGAAAGGTGATGCAAAATAATTCGAGACACCGCCCGAATTTCGTTATTGAAATCAATGGGTCGTTCAAGAACAGTCAGGACTGAAGCAAAGATACGGAAGATGAAATACTGACATGATCAATTACGAATTTTCTCGTGCTGAAAAATCGCACGTGATTTGAGAATACCTTGTACAAGCGCTCAGAGAATTCTCAAAGATAATCTAAAACTGAAATCCTACAGGAAAAAAGTCTAGTAAAAAATCTTTGAAGACAAAAAGGCAAAAAGATTTAAATGTGCAAATTGTCTGCGAACGATCTTTTGTAAAGAGGACACTGAGATTTTTGTTTCCTGAAGAAAAACTGTTCCACATCGATGGAATTTAGAACTCCAAAAACGAGAGCATCTCGGCACCAAGTCGTGCCGACGCTAACACGAAAGGTGGCATCAAGGAAGCACAGAAATTTCTTTCAAAAGTTATGGTCTCACTGGGAGCATGCTCCAGATGAGTGCCACCTTTGGGTGTGGGTGTGGGTGCAGGTATGAATGGAGGAGATATCTGAACTCACACCCTCACACCCACCCACCCATACTGACACCCGACACTCCACACTCACACCATTTCTTGTCTGCTGTCACAGCATAAACTCAAAGAAAAGAAAAAAACCAACGATTTTATCTCAACGAAAACAAGTAATACCGCGTATTGTGTTTCTCCTCAAATATATGCACATCATACTCAGCTGAATACGTTACCATCAACCTTGCTGTTTCGAACACCGTTTTGCAGGACGATAAATTTTTCCATTTTCTTAAGTCATCTTTAAAGGAGCGAGAAATTTTTTTGTCATATGATTGTATAGATAAAGATCCGTTAAATCAAAGTCTACACGTGTGATTTGAAAAGAAGATATTCACAGCGTTCTCTAATTTGTGAAACAGTACCAAAGAAATAAACCACAGTCTCTATTAGTATTGATTTCAAACGAATTACAGGAAGTAGAACCAATTGTAATTACATAGATAAAATGTTGAAAGCTAGATATCAATTCGGATATAAATTAAAATAAATATTCGAACTTAACAGGGTGTGTGTATGGATGGTGGTTTCTATCTTTATCTGAGATAGCTCAGTTTTGGATTTGATTCCGCTCATTGTTGAGCAACAAGATAAAACATATTTTTTTGGGATGGCGTGTTGGCGTTTGCTTGAGATGTGGGCGCGGCTGCAGCTGAATAGTATACCAACCTGCTCACATCAACACTTATACCCACACCTATGTGGTTAATTTGCTACTCCCAACTGTCTTACATCAATTTGAAGGTCTCATGTAGGTTTGACTACGGTTAAAAATAAAAAGCGAATATGGCTTTATCCAGGAAGTAATATCCACACAAAACGTCTAATCTGGAAACTTTGATAATGCTTACAGTGTGTTTGTTCCACATATCGTGTATGAATTAACTCAAGAAGATTATTTGCTTCGTACTATTTTACATCATTTTGTAAGTCTCATTGAGAACAAAATATAGTCAAAATGTCACGAATAGATATATTCTTAGTCTCCAGTTATTTACGAATTACTACGCTAAGCAGATTCTCATCTTGAACCATGTGGTTAATAGAGGGCCTATCTCTCGTGTGTCGGTTAAGATTCTGAGCTGATACTTTCACAAATTCTCAACAAAGCAACTAGGTTTCAATTGCAATAGCTATCGATTAGAATTCAACGTACTCACAATTATCATAAGATCTTTATATAGATTCATTGTAAAAAAATGATTTAACATGGCGTAACATATTGCATGTTATAATAACAAAGATATAATCATAATATAAGCAAAAGTGTGCTAGAATATGCTGCATGGTGAGCCTTACCATTTTATTTACATACTCAAAGTAAAAAGTCTGTAGGTCAATATTTGGTCTTATACACATTGGTCCTTAATTCGAAGTGTCCTATAATTTTGGGACACACTATTAGTACGTGTAGGCAATATCTACTCAAGTGCATATTTACGAAGTTTTTTAGAAGTACAGCAGACTAAATGAAAAACTGAAATTAATCTGATTCATTTTTTTTTGTAGACGAATATATATTTATGTTCTCCTCAGTATGTAGTCATTAATGTGTTGTTGATAGTTCACAATGGTAAATGTGATTATATGAGCGCGATCAATTGGCAGGAGGCCCCAACACTCATTTATTCATGTAGGTTCATCCATCTATCAGAAAAGCGTGATCTTTTTATCACTTATACCACTTGTATAATGCTATTGATCTGTGACTATTTAAGATATAGATATTAGTAAAAATGAGGGTTATTAAGGACATCCTTATGATTATATGCTAAACATGCTTCACATCATATTTGTTAACGTAGGGTGTGGGTGTGGGTGTCGGTGTGTGGGTGTGGGTGAAGAAGTGATCGACATTCGTACCCACACCCATACCCACACCCCACACCCACACCCTCAAATAATGATGTTTTTAAGAGTAATTCTGTTTCGGTTATATCCAGCGACCAAGTGATGTTAATTATTCTTCTTTTTTTGCTTTTGTTTGCTCTAATAAAACACTAAGAGCTAATATTCACTTCCTTCTGATCGGAAGCAATATAGGTCAGTACATACATAAAAGAGGAAATAGCCGTGTGCATGCTGCGTTTTCTTTTAATGCGGGTAGAGTAAGAGCATGTAAAGAACGTTATTTCATGCTGAAAGATTTATCTAAATCCTGTTAGCTGCATTTGGGCGAACCTCCCACTTTTTCTAGAAAATCCGATTGAGGAAGTTTGATTTGATCATGAATAATTGCTAGAGTTCTAGTTTAATATTAATCTTTAATCGATCTTAATCTATTCAATTGATTGTCAAGATGTCGGAGAGTATCAGTAAGGTCTATATAGAACCAAATGATATGAATTAATAGAAGTTCTCGAACAAACACGATATATGTGATAATGAAGCGTATAAATGTTTTTTCCGGAACATAATTTAGAGTAAATGATTCGGTTAAAATTGCTTTTAATGAATAACAAGTTCATCGGAAACATGAATCATGTTTAATCGATTTTCAGAAGTAATAAGAAAGTGATATGGATTATTGTCATAAGCAGGAAGCATACGTGATATGAGCACAATCTGTGAGGATACCGATTTCGAAAGTACTCTCTGTACACAAATGTGTAATATAAAAAAAAGGCAAAATAATGCATACAATCGATTAATGTCGATTAAAATACTTTAATTGATTAAAATTGATTTTTTAAATTTTTTATCGATTACTGATGTAATTACGTCATCTCAGTTATCAAACAAATGATATGGGTAAATCGGGATCTCAAAAGATGCGCACGGATCGTTTGCCCCTGAGAGAAAACTTGTTACTGTGAACAAATGATTATACTATGGTGGATGTGGATGAAGAGAAGACAATTCCCACGCTCACACTCGCATCCACATCCATTCTTACAGATATAAACACTAATAAATTTACTTGTATCTATAGAGTAATAACGACTCTGTGAGGTTCTCGTTTATGGGAATGTCTTAGACTCTTGCCCCACTCTAAGGTTAGGCCAGAAAACAATTAAATATTAAATACCCGGTCTGCAACGGGAACGAGAGTTCTCACGTAAAAGTAAATAAACATTCTTACCGGACCTTGCAATGATAAATGAAGAGAATAGATTAATTAACCGGTTAATGTTTATTAATAACAATGGGAAAGATAACAACAATGATAATAACAATAATAATGGTAATAATAAGTATATCACCGGGAAAGAAGAAAAACAACAACTCCCTCATTCAACAAGAGGAAAGGGAAAAACATATATATATAAACAATGGACAATCCAATGGAACTACATATATGAACTATAGAGAGGAAAGAGGAAAGTCACTATATCACAACTGTACAGTTAGCGGTAATAGAGTGACCTCTATTGACGCTAACAGACTCAAACTTCATTTTTCATGCTTGGTTTACTCATTTAATTGTTGTTTTTATGATTTTGAAAATAAAATAAATGTTTCGTTGTTCTTGCTACTTCTCTAAATCTATATTATCTACCGGAGTATAAACATGCACTTCTTATCTCTGCGCAACTTTTGCCGTATGCATCTTTCGAAGGCCCGTATTCATTGGCATAAAAAGAATTGGTCATGTGAACCGATACGAGGCAATGCCTGATGATTATCAATGATAGCAGAGAAAATTCAACTTTGTTCAGCTGTGTATTGAAGTTCAAGTGATTTTGTATGTTGATATTTCACCAATTTTTTCAATAAACTGTTATTTTCTTTCTTTCTGATACTCAATTTTATCCGCTGAATAACCTTCTTTTTCTTATTTCATATTATCACAATAACACATTAATATGCTAAGGCACATAAATAAATACAAAAAAACGAATCGTATAGAACATTCTAAGAACGAAATTAACCATGTTGAAGCAAATCTTTTGCTTGTACATTAGCCTCATTTACGCGTTCGATTTCAACATCAGTTTTATTTGTAATACGTTGAATCTGTTCATTTTGATTTGTCATTATATTACCCATATCAACTGCTGTATGTTTTAAGTTATCAAGATATTTACTAACTACTTGTAAATTATTGTCCATGGCTACTTCACGATCATCATTTGTAATACGAGTTATATAACCAGTTTTAGGCATTCCTTCACCAGCAAACTGATGATGTTTAGGTTCTATAGTTGTGGTTGATGGTTTTTCACAACTATATGTTTTACTATTTTTTGCAAATGATCGATATGTTCGACGAACACGTTTCCATGGTAGAACACATAAACCACAACATTTTTGTAAATTAGTTAAATTTTTTTCAGCTTCAGTCATTTCAGCATGAATATTATCAAGACCATGCTAATGTATGTTTAAAAATATAAATAAATCATTGAAAAATGTAATTAGAATAAAATGCAATCTTACGTCAATTCGATTTAGTTGTTCACCTTGCTCATGAAGCATCTTCATTGTATTGGTACTGACGTCTTGAGATTCCACAACTAAATCAACCATACGATGTGTTGATTCCAATGACTCATTTGTCGTTTGATTAATTTGTTTTCGAATTGCATCTAATTCATCCGTGGCTTCTTCGTCATTGTTATTTGATGTATGTGTCATTTGATGTTGTTTTTTTTTGTATATTATGTTGTCAATTTTTGGCTAAAGTCAAAGAAGGATAGGGAGAATAGGTATTATATGTATATATATATATGTGTTGGTAGAGAAGCAAACGAAAATATGTAACAGTAGTGTTTGCCTAGTGGCATAGTTTAATCATATCCAACGATAAGAAATAGAATAAAAAATAAAACGGTGAAGAGATCAAGTTGGTTCGATTTCTCGCATTTACCTATTTCTTTTTCTTTCCTTCATTTTCATGTTATATCGGATGCTTAGTGAGTTTGTTTCTACTTCATTTATTTTTGCTGAATAACCGAGATCTGCTCTTAACCTTCTATTGTATATAAACTGAATATCCATGTAGTTATTTATACAGGTATGTTGTGTACATATAATGTAGTTGTTTTTTTTCTTATTAAGAAATAAATACGTAATATTGCCTGTTTGCGGAATAGTTTTGCACTTTTCACACAATCATTTGGTTTTCATGGATTGTCTAAAAAGCTAACTGCCCAAGTGGACAAAAAAGTTGAAAAAACGCTATAAATGTATTGACCGTTTTTGAATGCTAATCATGGCTTTCGATTGCCATCTAGAAGAATTTTGCAGTGTCCAACTAGGGTCGGGTCACGAAAAAATTTTAGGTTTCGGGATGGATTTTCAGTTTGAATGTTTTGCAAATACAAAACACATTTCGAATATTTTTGTTTTCATTTAGAGGTTGTATGAGAGAACCTGGAAAAGCTTAGTAGAACAAGAAGTTATATAACGCACGATTTTTTCTTCTACTTTACCGACTTTTCTTTATTGGCATCGGATAGCAATGTATAGCGTATGCACTGTCTATTTAGTGATGATATTTTTCTAAGGTTAAAATTCAGAAAACACAATTCAGAAGATTTTCAATGGAATAAAAATGAAATCGATTGAGACTGAAACAGACAAATAAAAAAAAATAATCATGCATATGGAAAGTAAAGTGAACAGATTGTGACACAATATAAAAGTTGAAAATGAGTAATGTTAATCAAATAAGGAAACAGGAAAAAGTGTATCAAGTTTTATGCTTATTATGAAATTTTCCTTGTAGCTCAGAAAGCGCCTAACTCAGTTAAGAAGCAACGAGAAAGAGAAAGACCAATGAATTTAAATTCAGGCCTGATAATATTGTCTTTGTAATCTCTTCTTTTTTTTCTTTGTTTTTATAGCCGATTATCATGAATATGAGGATACCCAGAGAGACAAGCAAACAGGAATGCCGTATTTAAACACCAAAAGGTCTCAACTTTTAATACAATGTAATCTATCGCAACAAAATGAGTTTAAAGGTGATTCTTGGGACATATCAAATAATTTCGATAGATGTGAGTGTGGACCTTCTATCTATCCACACTCACACCATTATAGAAATATGCTTTTATTGTCAAACTAGATTTCTTTTACTTCAGTTTTAGTTAGACAAGTGTAGTTTTGGCAACTAGAGTGTAAACAAATATTTCACTAATATGTGATTCACTGTATTGAATCATTTTCGATCAATTTCAGATGATCTAAATAAAAAAAGAAAATCGTTTGTTTAGACATAACTCATTGTGTGGGAGCCACGAAAGGATTCTCTGTGCACCGGGAGAATCTATCGAGTATTTTTGTATAAGTGATTAAAAAGTTACTTATCTGTATAAAAAAGAAACTAATAATCTGTTGTTTTGAAAATCGATTTTTCCGTTAGCAATGGTAAAACAATAAAAAAATGAGCTTGTGTTTGGAAATTTCAATCATCAAAGTTTCGTTTTCAAATAAAATACATGTAATATTCGAAATCAGTATAAACAAAGCTAAATCAAGTAACATTGATTTTGTATCGAAACACGATCCTTACTTCTCCTCTGGCTTATAGGAAATGATTCCGACTGGATACACCCGATTGGGCTGAGAGTCGATGACAAATACGTTATCATAGTATCAATATGTTTGGATTCAGGTTTTTATTCATCCACATCCACACTCTATGATAGGCAACTAACTCGACTATAATTGTCGTTATTAAAGTTTATTGATAATGAACATTGGTAAATTTGAATCTATTTTATCTACTAATATCTGACTTGATAATGAAAAACAAGATTTTGATGAAAATACTTTCTTTTAATTCACCATCAATTATTGTTTGTTGATGATCATTTTTTATCTGCATAAATCACGATGACTTCATTAGAAAGCGAAACATTCTTTTCAACTGTCGAATGTAGATTATTATCATTGTTTTTCTAGTCATTTAGATTCGANTACTACATCAAAAGGAGTTGAATTGGAGTTGACAAAATGCATCAACTCCAACTCCAATCCAACTCCGCTCCGAAGGAACTTAACTCCACTCCAACTCCACCTATAAATTAATAAAGTCAACTCCAACTCCACTCCAACTCTACTCCGAGTGAACTTAACTCCGCTCCAACTCTACTTATAGATTAATAAATTTAACTCCAACTCCACTCCAACTCCACTCCTAGTCAACTTAACTCCACTCCAACTCCACCTATAAATTAATAAAATCAACTCCAACTCCACTCCAACTCTAGTGAAAAAAAGTGGCAACTCCGGAGTTAACTCCAACTCTGAGTTGGAGTTGCCCATCTCTGTCTGGAATGAGTAATACTATTTGTCTAATAAAGAGTAGATAATGAAACAGTATAAACAATCAACTCAATGAATAATCTGCTTGAAAATGCAATGATTCATAAATTTATGTGTTTTTTTCTTTTGTATATGATTCTCTTCCTGTTGAAGAATCATGCCCACGTAATAGATTCGTCAGTATTCTCTTTTATCAATAATACTTCGACAACTACTTTTAGCAACAGAATAAGAAAAAAACCTTATTCGACATTATGGCAAGGAGAAAAATTTTCTCGGCATCTTATACTTTTTCTCCGGCTTTAACAGTAAAAATGCACTGTAACCATTCGCATCATTTCGACGACTACCAGTAAGCGGTTATGTTACTAAAAGGTTGAGTTTAGCTTGTTTTTTAAGTTTGTTTTAAGTGATCGATGTATAGTGTATGAAAACACCTATTATAGATTCTTTAATGCATTTTTTTTTCAAAAAAAAATATTGACATATGCCTTCCCTGACGACAACGTTAAAAACTGAAATTTACGTAGGTTACGAGTGTTCTCATATACCCTTATCTTTTCTTATGTACGAGTGGATACTTAAAGCTATATTAATATGATTTAAAACCATTCTCTTGTGCTCACTCATGATGAATAAAGCATGAAAAGTATTACTAACTAAATGTAAGTAGAAAATAAGAGAAACCATATGGAGATCAACTAGTAGTTAAAAATTCATCTCATCATTCTATCAAATAAAAAAATTAGTAAGACTTCATTGCATATTTAAGTTCGACAAAGATTATTTTTCGATACATCGTATAATGTGTTAATCAGGTTTTTCATATTTACTTTTAATATTACATGTCTCGATTGAGAAGAGTATTCAAATTACACTACATGTTATTATAATAGCATTAATGAGTTGCAGAAACTTTTTTAAATATTTTATCGTTGAACTCTGAAATATTTTTAAATTATAAGCGTAAGTAGTTGTTTTTCTGTGTTCGTATGTTTGAGTCGTATTAAACAAAATTAAACTAATATTCATTTATTTTTTCAAATCGTTTTACTTTTTTGTGAAATTCTTTTCATTAAACAACTTGTCCTTCTCCCATCCACTTCACTATCGACACCTACATTTTTATTGTTGAATAGCTCAATAGACTAAGACGATTAGTATTAAAATCATTATATATAAAGCAGTTTTTTTTTTCGAAGATTAATATATTGATGGAAATCTTACAGTCCCCGATTGCGAAAGCGTTAGCATTGTCAATTAGATCATTGGCTGTTGATGTACCGAAGATAAATATTGACCCGTCGTTATCTGCTATCATCGATCAATGGTGGTGTCCAATATGCTCTCTCCAGACAGAAGATGCTCCACTTTGTCAAATGTGTCAACGGATACTTGTGGAATCAGCAGAAGACCCTCCTAATGAAGGTCAATCAAAATCAAATGTATTCTGTTACGAATATGAACAAAATAATGAAGCTCACATTGTAGAATGTGATGCACGTGGTCACCTAAAACATGTACCAGTAGGTGCTTTATCTGTTAAGAATTTGAATGTTTATCGAAGTTTATTTTTCATTAAGAACAATGATCATGGGCCAGGATTAAAAACACTTCTGTCATTGACTGTTCGTGATCGTCGGCATAATCATGAATCAAAAGCTGAAATCATATTTCAAAGAATAATTAAATATTGTAAACAGGTATTTTATAGAATCAATAATTTGTTCTGTATTTATCAAAGACTCTGGCAAATCGCTAAGAAATTTTTCTTTTTGTCATCTATGTGAAAAGCTGAACATTGTAATGAAATCATATGGTTTTGTTCTGTGTTTAGAATAAGAAATCTTTTGTGGACGAACGTTTTCCTCCGTCATCTCAATCTTTAGGAACAGATTCATTCCATCAATATTCACAATGGCTACGAATATCAGAAGTTACTCCATTGTCTCATGATGATCAAAAACTACCTTGGACAATATTTTCAGATCCGAAACCGAGTGATATTCAACAAGGTGCTTTAGGCAACTGTTGGTTAGTGGCAGTTATACCTTTGATTTCTGAACAGCCACGTTTGCTCAAACATATTCTTCTTACAAAAGACTACAATAAAGAAGGTGTTTATCTTGTACGTATATGTCATAATGGCTTATGGAAAACAATTATTGTTGATGATTTCTTTCCATGTACAAAACATAATCATTTAGTGTTCACACAAGCTAAACGTCGTCAATTATATGTTCCATTGATTGAAAAAGCATGTGCAAAACTATTCGGTTCTTATGCTGCTCTACAAGGTGGCGATATGCGTGAAGGTCTTCAATTATTGACCGGTGTACCGTGTGAATATATTGACCTTGATTCATCGAAGGACACATTTGATAGTAATTCCATTTGGACTAAACTTTTAACTTCTTGCGCAGCCAAGTATGTCAAATAGAATCGATTATAGAATGAAAATGAAGTTTTTATTTTAGATTGTTGATTGGAACATCATCCGGTGGAAATGGTGTAAGTTCAGAAGAATATGCTCACGTTCGTATTCATAAAAATCATGCTTTTTCCATTCTTTGTGCGAATGAATTTGGGGGCGCAAAAAATAGATTCGTATTAGTTCGTGACCCTCATTCTCATTCAGACTATCGAGAGGGAGCGATGACACAAAATATTCTTACCCAATTAAAATCAGTTAATTCTGCTGATCGTTCGACCGGTGCTTTTTGGATATCATGGGATCGATTTCTTCGTTATTTTTCTTCAATAACTATTTCAACTTATAAAAGTGATGATTTTGACATACGTCAACAATGCAAATTTACTCGATCACCTACTGAATATGCTATGTCTTTTTATTTACGAGTACCAAAGTAAGAACATGCATGTTTTTTTCCTGATAATTCTATCTCATGTCTTTAGAGAAACGTCAATTACTATAAGTCTGGTACATCATCGAAAAGATCGAAAAACACATAGGTCTCATGCACAGTCATTTGTTTTATGCGATGCTGACGAATATAAGTCAAAAGGTATTATTGGTAAACGTGAAAGTAAATTGATCAGTAAACTAGGAGGATACACGTGTTGGTGTGGGTCATTATCAGCTGGTGATTATATACTTATACCTTTTTCCGTTGGTTTCTGGAAAAATGGTAAACCAAACAGAGATTTTACTCTTGTCATAACCTCAAGTGTTCAACTAGAATTGACCATGAAAAAGAAGCCAGCAACATTTCTTTCTGATTGTTTAATTGCAGCAGCTTTGAAAAATTCTGAGACACAAGAGGTTTGATTTTTTAATATACATATTATTTTATAAGTTAGTTCTTGTTTTGTTTTTCCAGAGCAAAGATGCTATTGTCTACACAACAAGAGGTAAATTAGGATTCAAGATGCTTATTGTTGAGAATCGATCACATACACATAATCTAAATTTTGACGTTGATGTGCAATTATCAAGAAATGTACGGCATTCTCGTCATAGCTCATTTCCTTATAATACTCATGATTGTATTCCACCACGACATCGTCAAATAATATTTCTTGCAGAATGGATTGATAGATCTGGTGAATCAGCTAGTTTGAATTATGCATATTCGTCTATTCATGATAAACAGAAACGTGACCCAGTACCACCAATTGACACTTCTCAAAACGATTTTCACTCACCACGAACATTTTAATTTTATATATTTTTCGAATAAATTTTCAATTTCTTATATTTCAACCATTTCAAGAAAATTGAAGACGACAAATTTTCTTATTTGTAATGAAGACGAAATAAGGAAGCGTGCTGCTTAAATGAAAAAAAATAATAAAAATATGATCTAATTAAAGTGAACTTCCATGAATTCCAAAAAAAAAAGAAATTAAGTAATCGTGTTGTTTCTTCGTCTTAGTATGTTGTAGAAGATTTCAGTATTAGATTTTATGAAATATCACAGCAACTTTCATCAAAAGAACATAAGCAGTTAAAAGTCAGTTGAGATATTTTAATAAGAAATATTACAAGTCTTTGTTTCTATCCATAATGTAGTTGTACAAAGTAGGGATGATGTTATGCTGAATCAAATTGAAAATATCAATATTCTTAAATTGAAATTCTTTTATTTGGTTGCGTATTCGAAATGAGACAAAAAATGATGGGAAAATCAGCAATTTAATATAATAGTTCGAAAAGAAAACCTGATGTTTTATTTCGTTGTCGGACGAGAAAAGCAATTCTGATACAAATCTGATCACTCAACCCCACACACACACATCGTTACTTTATCAATTAATAACAACATTGCATGTATCACCAGACCATTTTCGTTTTCAAAGATGCTCAAGATCAATTCCTAATGCACAACATTTTGGATAATTGCATATATGTGATTCATACCACGATTGTGATTGAGGTAATAAACCTGGATGATCATCTGTAACACGTATCATTAATCCGCTGCAAACGATCGAAGCGCTGGAATCATTAAAGTCAACAATACTTTTATTCTGATAATCAATAACCCATTCAATGCTATCATTGGGTATATTGGAATCAATTATAGGTTTCTCAGCACCCAGAGTTTCTTTACCTATTTTTCGAATATACTTCGGATGAACGCGACACTCTACTACAAATTGCACATAGTTGCCCGATTTAAAAAAAAGTTTGCGAGAAGATGATTCAATGCGTTTCACTTCTGAGTATCTTGGATGGCATGCATAGTTAGTCGATGGAGTAGCATATATTCCATCGCCATGCGCTTTTGTTTCCGCTGGTTTTAATCCACTTAATAATATTGATAAACCATGCTTGAATTTTGTTCCATGACAGCAGATACACCATCCTTTAAATCTTTCGCAGAAATTGTCAGTAACATAAAATGACCGTCTTTGCCAGCCAATAGGGTAATAGTACAGTTGATTTCCGCGATCTAATCCGTCATTAAGTGCTCCAGTCCAATAAAAATTACCACTAGCATATATGCGGTTATATTTTGGATACAATTTAATATCTTCGCGACATTTTAATATTTCGCGGAGCGATTCAATAGGACCCATATACAAGAAGAAAATTTTCATTTGATTTAGTAACTCTAGTTTTTTATCTGTTAACATATCATAGATCATTTTTACACTTAGTTTCTTATCTGTTGATTTAAATTTGCCGTAGATTGTTACTTCTAATATAGCGGAACCTGCTTGTCTTTTCTTAATGGATATATCATTTACTTCTATATTTAATATATCGCAGAATTTCTTTAGAAAATCTCGTAAATCAAATGTTTGACAGTCTTCATCAATACCAAGTTTAATTGATGATGATTGCAATTCAGTAGTACTGTCAAAAATTTCGTCTGGGATTGATATTAATGGTTGCTTTTTCAATTTACAATATTCTTTACATTGTTCATAGTAATTTTTTTCTGCTGATGGCAATGGCTCATTTGACAGAAAATATTCCGTACATAGACGATCGACAATATCTAATTATTTTCGAAAGACATACAGAACCATAATGTCATTTAAAAACAAATTAATAATATATCTAATACTGTGAAATGAAAAGAACGAAAAATTTCTGAAGTATTTATAGGAGCGATTCCACTAATTCGTCGAGACTTTCGAACAGTAATCAATTCGAAAATTAACTCAAAATTTCTTCAGATATAATTATTTTATCGAAAAAAAAGTTTCAATTTCCTACTCCTGCATAATTACTGTTTGCTTTTAAAAATCATTTTAATATAGTAAAACGGAACATTATACTAACCAATTGTATCACAGACATCGCTTCCCTCTGTATAACCAGCTACAGTGATTCCTTGTATTTTGAATCGATACCTTCCTTGTTCAAGATTTGAAATAGTGGCTGATGGTATGTCATTTACAGTTGTTAATAATAATTTCCATTGACAATTCCGACGATTTTGACCATAAATCATATACTGTTGAATATTTTCACTTCCTTGCACAGGTTTTCTCCAACTAAGCATTGTATTATGACATGAATTATCTGTAGTATATAGACATCCTGGTTTACTTGGAATTTCAAAATTCATAGGAACACCGTTTTGATACAGAATAGTTGTTACTCCTCTTTCACCTTGTAATTTATTAATATCTTCTTCGTCGACAACGAATACAATATTGTTTTTGTTAACATTGATTTCAGAAAAATTAATAAATAATGCAATTTGTTTTCGAATTAATGTAACATTCTTGTGATCAAACCAATGATTAATTTTTATATGAGTATCGCTAGGCCGTTTTCTATAATCCTTAAAATATTGTAATAATTCATTTAAAAATGTATCGTTTTCTTCTGTAACATGAACAATCAAGCGAAGGATAAATCGGTGATTAAAATTTTTTTAAACTTCAGCAAATGGACATGTTAATAGATGAATATTGTCTTGTTTTCTTAAATCACTAATAAATGACGTAAGTATGTTTTTTTCTTCAGTTTTGAATTGAATCCAATCGTTTAACTTTTGTCTGATAGATAAAGAAAAATTAAATTTTTCCAATAGATCAATTAATACTTTTTCTTTTAAGGATGTACCACGGACTTCAGGTAATAACTGTAGCATTTCTTCTTTGAGTTCAGTTTCGATTTCGGACATTCGAATACTAATTTTTGATAATTACTGTTCAGTTTGATAGAATATCTTCAAATGTGATAAATTAATTTTTATGTCATTTAAACTAATTACTACTTTATGTAGACTAGTCATATGTTCTACAGATTTATTAAGAATATGATCATTAATTACATGAAATCTTTTCTTTGCACTAATGAAATCATCTAATAAATACAATGGATACAACAATACTTTTTTTAGTTTTGTATTTTTATTATTTTTCCCAAGAAGATTCGGTAAGTTTTTGAGTAATTCGATTGCGTCTGTAAATGATGTTGGCTTGAATTCAAGTTGTATATCACCATAATATTGACATGTTAATGTTTCAGCAAGCTGTTTCTCTTCATTGATCAGTTTCAATTGATTAATACCAGAGATTGAAAGTGCTTTGAGTTTTTTCAAAAGTTCTTGAACAGAATTATGAAATTCAATACGATTTTCATTATCAGATAATTTTCGATTGAATATTAGAAATATTTCAATACCATAAAAAAATATCAGTAACAACATGTGTAGCCATTTGTTGATTAAATATATTCTGATGTTTTACATCACTTTTTCTAAAATGACGAATAGCCAATTCATCATAATTTGTTATTATTGAACATTTTAGTGTGAATACTTCAAAATTTTCTGATTCGTTGACAATATTCAATTAGGTTACTTACATCAGGAAAATCTACCAGGCCAGTGAGAATACTAAGTTTAAGATTATCATCTATACCGACAAGATATTCTAGTTCTGTAAAATTATCATGTATATGAATTTCATAAGTGCGAGATGGGGAAGAGTGACAAGTAAGATTATTTGTAATGAGTTTCTCATTCCATAATAACGTATTAGGAATAAGTCTATCAGTTTTATAATCATATAGCATGCCAACTTTGAATGGACGACCGAGGACCAACATGTTTAAAGCTGGAGATTTATCATTTGCCATTTTTAAAACTAGAAATTAATTATATTAGTTTATAACTATGCCGCAAAATATTTTTAAAACTGTTGTATCGGTAAAAAACCAGCTTACTCTTGTAAATTCTTTCTACAAAAAACGTGCTTTAATAAAATATAACTGATAAGAATAGTGTGTTGATGTCAGAAGACAAAATCTATAAAAATGTTTTTTCATATAAGTTAAATACAGAGAAATTTATGAGCATGGGCTATTTAAAAAAAGTTAAGTGTTTTAGATTAATAGAGAGTAAAAAATTGAATGCCTGGCAATAGGATTCGACTTTGAAATCAGAATATTTATAAGTGTTCGAATGTCAATCTGATGATGTATCGGAATTTTATTGGAGTAGGTAACCAGACTCGCATTTGCTTTCATCTAAGCTTCCATTAGNACAAAAGTTGATATAAACGATAATGTTAATAAAATTAATTGCAGTTCATTCAAATACTAATCTAGACAGGGAAAGGGAGCCAATGGAATAGATATTTTCATATACAACTTGATAGGTTCTATTCAACCATATAAAAAGAAAGTTGAAAAATAGTCCTTCACTTGATCTTCGAATTGTTGGTGCATTATAATCGTAAGTAGTAATTTTTTGTGTTAGTTTGTCAAGGTTTTATTGAAAGAATTACAATAAAATATTAAGCTGATGCTTATTTAACGTAGAGCTACTTCGCAAACATAAATATCTTGTTCAGTATATTCCCGAGATTTCCATTTTGTTTTTTTTTGAAAAACCTTACAGATTAAGACGATTGGTATTAAAATCATCATATGTAATACAATTTTTTTTGAAGATTAATATACTGATGGAGATACAGCAATCCCAGATTTCGAAAGCGCTAGCATTGTCGATTAGATTACTGTCTGCTGGTTTATTGAAGATCAACGCTGACTCATCGTTACCTTCCATCGTCGATCAATGGTGGTGTCCAATATGTTCCTCTCAAACAGAAGATGCTCCACTCTGTCAAATGTGTCAACGGATACTTTTGGAATCTGCAGAAGATCTTCCTAATGATGATCAATCAAAACTTAATGTGTCCTGTTATGAATATACACCAAACGATAATATTACCAATGTAGAATGTGATGCATGTGGTCAACCAAAACATGTACCAGTAAGTTCTTAATTTGTCAAACATTTAAACGTTTATCAGAGTTTCTTTTTCATTAAGGACAACGACGATCCACCAAGATTACAAACACTTACGTCATTGACTGTTCGTGATCGTCGACATAAGCATGAATCGAATGCTGAAATCATATTTCAAAGAATAATTAAAGATTGTAGACAGGTAATTAAGAATATCAAAAATTTTGCTCTGTATTTATCAAAGAGTCTAGCAGATTGATATGAACTTTTTCCTTTTATCATCTATTTGAAAAGTTGAATATTGTAATAAAACTATAGGGATATTCTATTTTATAGTAAGAAACGAAAAAATTTAAGTATTTAATTTAAGTTAGTACTTCATATTTCAATATGAAAACTATTTGACAAAATAATTTTTAATATTCGTGTATTTTGTTATGTGTTTAGAACAAAAAATCTTTTGTAGACGGTCAGTTTCCTCCGTCATCTCGATCGCTAGGAGCAGGCTCATTCGATCAATGTTCACAATGGCTGCGAATATCAGACGTTTCTCCATTGTCTCATGATGATCATAAACTACCATGGACAATATTTTCATTTCCTAAACCTAGTGATATTCAACAAGGTGCTTTAGGCAATTGTTGGTTAATAGCAGCTTTAGCTTTAATTTCTGAACAGCCCCGTTTACTTGAACATATTCTTCTTACAAAAAAATACAATAATGAAGGTGTTTATCTTGTACGTATTTGTCATAATGGTTTGTGGAAAACAATTATTATTGACGACTTCTTTCCATGCACAAAACATAAATATTTGGTCTTCACACAAGCTAAACACCGTCAATTATATGCTCCATTGATTGAAAAAGCATGTGCAAAACTATTCGGTTCTTATGCCGCTCTAAAAAGTGGAGATATGCGTGAAGGACTTCAATTATTAACTGGAGTACCATGTGAATATATTGATCTTGATTCATCGAAGAATACATTTGATAGTAATTTAATCTGGACTAAACTTTTAACTTCATGTAAAGCAAAGTAAGTTGAACAGAATCTATTATAGAATAAAAAAGAAATTTCCACTTTAGATTATTGATTGGAACATCATCAGGTGGAAATGGTGTTAGTTCAGAAGAATATGCTCGTGTTCATATTCATAAGAATCATGCTTTTTCTATTCTTTCTGTCCATGAACTCGGAGATACAAAGGGAAGATTTGTGTTAGTTCGTGATCCTCATTCTCATTCAAACTATCGAGAAGAAGCAGTGACAGAAAGTGTTCTTAAACGATTACGCTTAGTTAATCCTGCCGATCGTTCTACGGGTGCTTTTTGGATATCATGGATTCGATTTCTTCGTTATTTTTCTTCAATAACTATTTCAACTTATAATAGTAATGATTTTGATATACGTGAACAATGTAAATTTACTCGATCATCTACTGAATATGTTATGACTTATTATTTACATGTACCAAAGTAAGTATATTCTTTTTTTTTTGATAATTCTATGTAATATCTTTAGAGGAACATCGATCACTATAAGCGTGTTACATCATCCAAAAGATCGAACAATCCGTAGTTCTCATACTCAGTCATTTGTTTTATGCGATGCTGACGAATTAAAAGCAAATGGTATTGTTGGTAAACGTGAAAGTATATTGATAGGTAAACAAGGAGGACACACATATTGGAGTGGATCATTACAAGCTGGCTATTATGTACTTATACCTTTTTCAACTAGTTTCTGGAAAAATGGTAAACCAAATAGAGATTTTACTGTTGTCATAAATTCAAGTGTTCAACTTGAGTTAACTATGAAAAAGAAACCAGCAACATTTCTTTCTGATTGTCTAATTTCAGCAGCTATAAAAAATTCGAAAAAAAAACAGGTTTGACTTTTTTGTATAGATTATTTTCAAAATAAGTCTTTGTTTTTATTTTCAAGAGCAAAGAAGCTATTGTTTATACAACATCAGGTAATCTAGGATTGAAGATACTTATTGCCGAGAACCAATCGAATACACATAATCTAATTTTTGACGTTAATGTACAACATGCAAAAAATGTGCGTCACTCTCGTCATAATGGCTTACCTTATAATACTCATGATTGTATTCCACCCCGACATCGTCAAATAGTATTTCTTACAGAATGGATTGATAGACACGGTGAATCGGCTAGTTTGAATTATGCGTATTCGTACAGTCATGACAAACGAACTAGTGATCCAAAACCACCAATTGACACTTCCCAATATGACTTTCATTCACCACGAGCGGTTTAATTTTTTATATTGTTAAAATGATCAAATTTTTGAATTCGATAATAAAGATGCTTTATTGTATGGCAAAAATAAATGGATTATTTTCAGTATTGTTCAAGGAAGATTTATGTTTACATAGAGTTCAATACAAAGGATCAAAATAAAACCGAATAATTAATATATCAATGTATTCTGTCATCAATTGATGTTCTGATAACCGATGATCTTTGAATAAAGTTGTTGTTATTTCATAGCTTTGGGGTAAGCCATGAAGAAAATATACATATTAGATCATGTACTCGTCATCAGTATCTTTTCGGACTTTTGGTATCCTATAGTCTTGTTAGTAATTGATTATATTTATGAGAATTTTTATATAGGCCTTTGGTTCTGATCGCTTGTCATTATTGAATTGTATCTCAATGGTTTCTCGTGTTTAAAAATACAACCAAGTGTTAGAGTTTTACTTACCTAGATAAAATACATTAAAGACTATTGAAGTAGTGTTTCAAGCGAATTCAACAATTATTGGCTCATTTTATGGAACATAGAATCATTATGAATCAAGTATTCTTGTTTAAAATTTTGGAAAATTTCGAACTATAAAATAAGATATAATGTAATTATCCATTAGCGAATTTAACATAGAATGTATCATTTTTTCCACCAATTGGCACTGTTTTGTTGTCTCTTCGTATAAAATGCATTCGCCCATTAGTGTTTTGATTTACCATTTAAGAAATATTTTCTCGCAAAACAAAATCAACACATACATTTATATACATAATAGCGAATGGCGACAGAGAAAAAATAATACTAAATAATTAATATTTGTAGTTATCTCTACTGGTTGAGATCATGTGCATGGAGGTCAAGAGATGTTTCAATTCATTATTTGTATTCCACATTCACATCCTTAGTGCCATTGACATTTACTCAACAATTCCTCTTCTCTACAGTAAAATTTGTTTCGTAGCTTTTATCTTCGTTATCGTCACATCTAGGATCACCGTGTCAGTTTGACCTTCAAGAGATTTGTGTGCACAGATTATTGGGAAAGAATCGCACTCACTTTGGCAGGTTTTCAATTCGATAGAAATGTGGATGAACCAATAAAAATTGGAACTTTGAACTTTAAATAAGATTTGATTACTGTTTGACCATTGTAAAAATGAAAATGTAAAAAAGTAGTCTTTTTCGATCTTTTGGGAATTTCGTCTAACTGTTCATTAGTCTCAACAAAAAGAACAGTTGTTTCAATTAAATTTTTGATCAAGGTTGAATTACAATCTAATTTACGTTTTGAATAAAACTCAACACTGAACTCTATTCATGTAAATGATCGTCAACAGTGAATGAAAAGCCACTAAAACAGTCGCAAAACAGACAAGAAAATTTAACTAACAGACAGGAGTTATATCGAAAAAATCCTTCAGAATTATTAGAAGATTAATTTATTATGTGACAATTACTATTGATTTTCTTAGTCACGTTAAAATGTACTTACATATTTTATCGACAAAAAATCGCTTATCTTCTGTTTTTGGCTCGATTGCTCAACGTGCTGATACATAAACTTGTTTGCTAAATATTAGTACGTGTATATTATCATGCAATTGGTATGACTGTTTGCAAATAAAACTGATCTAAAATGCATACAACGTTGTCGATACTGACCACAAGAGAAGAAAAAATAGTACGGAAATGCTTCGTTTAGTAATGGATGAATTGAAGTTTTCTAGACAAAATGCTGTTGGATTTCTTTATGTACTTGAAGATATTTTAGGTCTGTGCAAAACAATGGTTTTGAAATGGTAAAATTTTCATGCTAGTTTTTGAGAATCAAGTCAGAAATTCTGTATTTGCATTTATGGTAAGAGCGTGAAGGAAATATTTGAAAAGTTCAAAAATTTGTTTGAATTAACGAACATATCAATTTTGATTATTAAATGATTTCGATTCCGCGTTATCATTTTTTTGCATAATAATATAAGACATAAAATAATCTTACTTCATAAGATACACTGTATACCTCTACCACACGGATGAATATTTTTTTTTCACTTTTCATGCTATGGTCTGATAGAAAATATCACACATTTATCCGCATATCAATGCTGTTTCATCAGGGTATAATGCATAGTCGAATGATTTTTGTTTTCGTTCACATTTGTCGCGAGTTTTGATCTATTTTTTGTGAAAGATTACATTGATACGAAAGGGTGTATAGTGACCTGGGGTAATTCGGATCACTTGATCAAAAAACTGAGTGTATTTTGGTCGTTTTTCAACCATTTTACATCAGAAAAAAAAGATTTTTTTATTGTCAGATAGCCCCAAGTGTTCTCTATCCATTCATGTAAAAACTTTTGAAAAAAGTCAATGTTTTGAGTAAGTTTTTAAAAAACTACTGAAAGCCCTAAAAAAGTGATCCGAATTACCCCAGNATCCACACCCACACCCACACCCACGCCCACACCCACACCCACACCCACACCCACACCCACACCCCACACCCACACCCACACCCAAACTGCATACGTATGAGATATTTTGTGTTCAAAGCTAATTTTGGATTACTTCAAATGTTATCGAATCGAGTAGAATCTCATGCCTGAAATTGATGACGTACTGATTCTATTGTAAAAGTATTCTGATAATTTCTAGCATTCAAAATAAGAACATATAGTTAGGTAAAAGTAAGAAAAACGATAAAAGCACCGGGGCGGAGGACTTGTTTTGAGACTTAGAGTGAATTAAGTCGAATGATAATGGATGAAAGATGTCTTTGATAAAAGAGAATTAGGATCACGAAAGCACGAAGCAAGTGGATAAACACTTGAAAAATTTGAATAAAAAGAGTGCCATCTTGTTGATTACCCCAGAGAATGTGCTGAGTTAAGTGTACCCGAAAAAGTACCCTGTTACCAGTAAGTTACAGGAACTTTTGAGTACCAAAGTACTTTTAGGTACTTTCAGATATCTAAGTAGTACTTTGGCAAGTACCCTACTACTACTAAATGAGTAGTAACTGGGTACTTGAAGGCACTGATGAGATGCTCAATTTGGTATTTTTGTATAGTATTTCGAGGTGTCCTGTTACCAAAATTTCAGTATATTCAGGGGTCGAACCTGACCTGTGACCTTTTTAATTTTTGTTTATCTCGAAGCATTTTACTAGATTTTTTCTCGGTTTTTATTTAATTTATTGTTTTCTATTCCGAAAACTTAGCAGATATAATCCAGGATCTGACCAGACTTGAGTTGGTCGGATATTCATCAGACCACTTCAGAATAGTCTGCTCTTAATCTACGATCAAGACCAGCATGTTCTCGACTAAGAAATAGTCAAAAAATAATTTAGAAAAAATTAATATGAAAATTGAATAATTTCGTATGTTTTGTCCAGTTGTTTATATGGAGCAGTGAGTGAAAAAGGAAACAGTGAATGAATAGTCGCTACACAGAATACGACAAACGTAAGACACCCTGTAGAGTTTTCCACAGTAAAATTATAGATGCGGGGGTATCCCTGTGAGTGTACTTTTATGGGAACCACACGCAGTATCTACGCCAGTATAATTACTGAGAATTTTCAAAGTACCCATTTTGAATGCCTCCTGCTAAGGCTTTCTCATGTAAATGAATATCCTGAACCCAGTACTTTCTCTAGGATAACGATTTCAACTGCAACTTTTTTTCCTCTCATGACAATGTGACCAAGTGTGTTATGTAATAAAACGAGTTGAGAAATTTAAATGCTATTTGGAATTCTCGACGATAGACTGATAAGCCATAGTTTATGCTCTAAAAAAATAAAAGAACTATAGTAAATATTCTTTTCTTTAGTTCTGTAACCAGGCACGATGCTATTTGCACTAGACACACGTGCTCACAGGAGAAAAGAGAAGAACTTATGTTGTAGTGTTATCGTTGCACCATAAATATTATGAGAAGGAATCAACAATATTTCGTTCTTGCATTTTACAGTTTTTTCTCCTATGGATACCAATGAGTCAAAATATTTTTCAAACAGTCGCTTTTTCATTAAAACAAGATAATAAGAAATAACACCATGACGGTAACATAAGAAAATTTATTCTTGAAACTTTGTTTCAATGATTTTATACATGCAGTCATTCTTTCAGATTTCTTATTTGACATAGAATGAATCGAATGATGACACTAATCTGGTATTGGTCTTTACTTATTTTGCAGTTGACAACTATGACCACATTCGTTTTAACGTTAGTAGTGTGCAGTAGTGTTAAAACAGAACTCATGGTCAGCAGTGAAGTTGCCAAACATATCTGTACTTGGAAGGGGTCCTGCTTATAAATATTCTGTTTCTAGTTTTGTCATTTAAACCTCACAATTTTTATTAAATCTTGTTGGCCACTTCATTTTCTTCTTCCATCACAATCTATTCTTCATCGTGCTATTCTATATGCTATCCATACTACAGTACTTCCTGCATCCGTATTTCTTCTGATCATGGGCGTGGGTGCAGGTGTGTGATTAAGAAAACCCACACCCTCATGCATCTTGAAATGGAAAATATTCGAATCATTCATGTTAATTTGTCAAATGTTAAAATTTTATTTCTATTTTCTACATTCTAGAACATTACTGATGAGCGAAAAATTGTTTTCTTATTCCTGTTCGTATTTGATTATAGTTAGACTAAATTTCCATAACATTGTTCTCCTGAACAAGGACCAACTGGAAACGTATTTGGTATGATTAGAGTTTCTGTTGTCAAATTCAATGCTGTGCCATGAGGTCCAGGAAATGTCGCTTGCATAAATATCCCGTACCAGTAACCGTCTGGTGGCATAGGTGCAGTATAAGTGTAGATAATTGATGACTGACCAATCTTTGACTACAGAAATAAATAAATATAACTAAAAAATATCAAAATTATTTCATACAATTTCCATATTTTCTTTCATTTCCACCCATTTGACAGGATTAACAACAATCTGTCCAGTGGTTGGATCCAGTTTAGCTGCTCGAAAATCTCGTCTATGAACAAAACATTCAATGAAACTACTGTTTTGTCTATCTGAAATATACTTTGTTCCTGTAACAGTTTGAGCTTGATAAACAGTAACATTTATTGGTGATGGATGTCCATCACCAACAGAAACATTAGCACGAATTTGTCCATGAGTTCCATTTATTGTACGTGTCCATGTCCATGATGGAAGCACTTGTTGCTAGTTGTTTTTTTTAACTATTTTATTTAAATTTATGCATTAAATATCAACTTACCTCACAAATACTAAAATAAAAACTTTCAAGGCTATCAAAAACTCCTGTAGCCCCATGATCAGTATTTGGAATTCGGCTAGAAAAAATGATGTATATTTAGCTTTTGTTCTCAAGTTATATTTATTTTACTAGAGATAAGAGCCACCTGTTGCTTTTTGAAGATCATTCCAAAAATAGTCCTATAAATATTTATCTAACATCTCCATTAGTTATTTAATATGTTAGAAATACATGGGGCACTCCGAAAGTTTTTTCGACCCTCTCTTCTGAAAGATTTGACGAAGAACTAATTATATTGTTATAATGGCCACATATACTTGAGATTATGTGCAAAATTTCAAACTTCTGAGTCTTATGTTTTGTTGTAGTATAGTCTACTATTCCTTTTATACTACCACTAATGAGCAGAATTAAATCGTCAGGCGGTGTGTATCATTTTTCAATCCTTTAATAAATAGTTCCTGATGCAACAAAATAGACAGAAAGATACAGCATGAAAAGCTCTACAATTCGCATAGGGTCCTTCTTTTGATAGTTGCACGATTTGGTTTTAAAATGTACAAAATTTTGAGCAACCGTATTTCGACCCTGTTAAGACAATATTTTCCATGATCATTTTTTTTCATATTTTACCTTTTCACTATGTAACATTTTTTCGTAAGTAAAAACAAAGTACGACGAAAAATGCAGCTTGAAAATTTCTACAATCTGCATAGGTAATAAAAAATATTGAACAAGAAAAAATGGGATTCTTGCTTGTATTATATTTTCCCATACCATCGAAGTTTGATCGCTCAGAGTTTTGTCTATTTTGAAACCAAAACGTACAACTATTAAAAGAGTAATCTTATGTGAATTGTAGAGCTTTTCACACTGCATCTTCCTATATATTTTGTACCTTTAAAAACTACTTACTAAAGGGTTGAAAAATGATATAAAAAGGGCGAACATTCAACTCTCTATATGACATATTGAAAACCGTTTGTACCTAGTATCAAAGAAACGATAGACTACAATAAAGCATGAGAGTCAAACGTCTGAAATTTTGCATGTAATCCTAAGTATGTCTGGTCATTATAATAGTGTAATTAGTTCTTCGTCAAATCTTTCAGAGGGGCCGAGCGAAAAATTTTTCGAGTGCCCTATGTAAATAACCTCGCTATCAGATAAAAAGAATTCATCATCAGCTCCTTGAAATTGACACAATGTAACATTATGATATCGATCAAAATAAGCTAAATTATCAAAATAATATTTTATATAAATTAATATGGACTCTTACCGTAAGGATCAAAAATATCAGCCGCAACTTGATAATATGGATTATCCAAAGACCTAGTTATATTCTCCACATAATAAGAATACAAAGCAAATGTCCATCCATCAAGAGACTTGCAAAAGACATTTTAATTAGTCTTATAGAAAATCTTTCATGCATACTTGATAGTGATGCTTCATATTCTAAAAAAGCAATAATTCTTATCTTAAAGTCAATATTTTATTTCTACCTTTTGAAGATTTAAAAGATCAAAAACGACTGGCATAGCTGCCACAACACGGTTATTGTCTACAGCTGCCGTTAACCATGCTATTCAAAAAGAAAATCTTTCATCAGCTCACAAGGAAAGTCCATCAACTGTTCAATCGCTTATGAGCCACGAAGATATTATACTTTTACAGTATTTTTTTAAAAATCAATGCTGTGACATCCCTCTGGGGAACTACGGTATTTATTTAAAAATATTGCAAAAGTGCAATATCTCTGTAGCAATAAGCTAAGGGCACGAACTTTTTTCAGGATACTCATAATTCATTTTGGTCTACATATGCACATAGTCTCGGCTCAGAAGCAATTGAATAGTTGGTGATTTTCCCTCGTCAGGAAAAAGCTTACTTGTCCATCCACGCTAAAAAAAACAATCAAGAAGAATTTTGCAGATCCTTTCCTAGTCATTAAATTGATTTACTTTCGATCCACCAGTAATGACGAACTTCTCTGGTACTGGAATTTCTTTTTCACGAAGAAACTGTTGTGCTGCATCCATTGCACGCACTGATGCCTTTAGAATAAAGATCAAAATATTTTTATAGAATATAAACACAAATCTGTAGTTGATTCAGCTTACTTTTGTCATAGGTAGTAGAAGAAGAACAGATGGATCACTACCGTTTGATTGAATAAATGTATTCCAAGTCCATGCAAGAATATCATCCTCAAATCGAGATTTCTGCGATGGATCGGCCTTTTTATATAGGAAAATCGAACAAACTTTCATAATATATAAATATTGAACTTTTTTTTACCACAAATGTTATTGGTTGACTAGGAATTTGTTTAACTTCCACAGCAACAGTACCAGTTTTCACACTGATTTTTTCTCCCCAAGAGTCTCTTTTTGGCACTCTGATTTCAAAAAAATCTAGATTATATATTCCTAATGACGATTGGAAGATCTTACGGATCGAGATTAGTTTCACCACCAATAAGCATGTAAGCAGTTTTTGGTCGACTGTGTATTCTCGGTACCGTAATAACCATATAATGCCACCAGATTGATCGGGATGAGAAGGAAGCTAAAAACAAAGTAATTTTTATGAAAAATATTTTTCTAATTTCTATGATTATACCATCGAACCATTGTTGTGAAGTCATATTAAGTATATAAGTTGTATGAGTCAATTCGTAGTGCGTTTTAATAAGTTTCCAAGCAAAGACAGGATCTGGTTTGTTAACATAATCATCTAGTGGAGTAGAATTGTTGATATATATGATAGAGACAACCGTAACGAGTATCAAGAGTATTCGACACATGTTTGAAAATGATGAAACTTTGAATATTGTTTCAATTATTTATATGAAAGAAATAGTGCTGTTAATCCTTTTTTATAATTGAAGCTTATACGTTGATTTTAAGTTTTTATTGTTTTTGTAAATATGTGTTGAGAGGAATATATCGAGTTTCTGCTCTTTTTTCATTTAATGAATCTAATGCTATAAGAGAGCCTGAAATAACCGTTCTACTAAATATAAAAGATATACTTCAGATATCCGACAAGAATGAGAACAAAAGAAAAACAAATGAATGCATGTATGAGATAGTACTTGTAACATTATGAGCATTTATTTTTCAGATAAAACATTTTATCTTTTGACAAACTGAAGTCACATTACAGTTCGCCAATCTTTTTAAAGACTTTCAACGAGGGTGAGGCGTGAGTTTAATATAATTTAATAGAAAGAGATGAAAGATTAGTTTTTAACAGCAGCTTAATTTTATCTAATTTATCCAAGTTATTTATTCATAAACCTATTAGTCGACGTTTCAACATATCTAACATCATTGTCAATACACGTGGAATTAGATTTTAGAGAGAAAAATAAAAGGAAATTATAGTATATATATATGTGTTACATGAGTCATTAGTAGGAAGAATTATTGGTTTATCCTTTCTTTCAATAGATATTAGGATAACCAACATCATTATCAGCTGTTGAAATAGTTAAATATGCACATATTTAGCTATTTGCCCGACCCGTGGTCTATCAATTATCACTGACTTGATTTTTGACTGTTGGTTTGGATATTTGCAGGCCTTCAGGGTAAACTATTAAAGGAGCTGAACAAACAATTCGATTTAAACTAGGTTTGTTATGAAGAATTTGTAAGGATTCCCGAATTAACAATTGATATTTTTTACAATCTTTTGAGATTATTTTCCAATAATCCCAATTGATTGTGTGATTCTTATTGATTTGATGTTTATATATGGCTGATTTCATTAGTTGTTCTTCATTAGTAACTTGAAGATTATCATTACAATTCTCTTCATTGGAAAAAAAAATTTACTTTAGCTTTGGCTCGAAGGTGATCATATCTTCTTAACTGTTGATTATCTACTGCTGAAGTAGCTATTTGTGAAATAGGTGGTAATTTAGGTTGTTGTGGTGCACCATGTCCCTGATATCGTCTCGAAGCCTGTCTAATAGTTTTTCCTAAATAGCTTTCATTGCACTCTAAACATGATATCATATAAACTATATTTGATTGAGCATTTTTTCCTATTTTATCTTTCTGTGGAAAGAAAGTGGATATTGTTGGTGGAGGTCGAGGAATCGGTTGTATATGAAGATCAGGCCTAATATTTTTAGCTAGATTGATAACCTTTTCCCCCAAGATTTTAGTTTCATTTCTAATGAATGGTAAATCTATAAAGATTTGTTCTTTGTTTATATCTTTGTTTTCTGACTCCGTAGTTTTCGTTGATGTTTCCTTTGATATTTTTGATCGTTCAAAATATCTATTAAATATTTTTCTAATTTGATTTTGAACGAATTTAATAGATAACCATTTTTTACAGCTAGATCTTGGATATAATCAAATTCAAAATGCATCAATGAATAAGAAGGACAAATCTTGATTGCTTTGTAAATCATTGAAGTGATAGCTGAGACTTTGTAAGAATGAGGGACACAGGAACTCCATTTTAACAGTAAACCAGTAAACGTAGGTTTACGATAGACAGATGTTGAGAACGAGTTTGGATTAGATATATTTCATATTGTTTGAAAAAATTCAGGTAAACGCTTTTGAATATGTTCACGAGCTAATATTTGAAATTCGTTATGTGTTGAATGTTGTAAAGCAAGGACAAGAAAAAGTTCTTGTACTTGGTTTAATTTAAGTAATTTACATAGCGATTTTAAATATTCTCATGAAAATTTGATAGATTTATCTGAGATAGTCTTATCCAAGATATGACAAATTTTTTCTAAATTATTTTGATTAATTGATTGTAAATCCAGATAATCTATTAAGCATCGACATAAATGTCGTTCAGCTTCGGATTCATGCTCAGATATAAGATTAGATATTTCTATGGCCCAATTTTTTAAATTATTTTTTAATCTTCCATCTGTTGGTTGTATTGAGGTTAAAGAACTAGTAGAATCTGACAACTGGTCTGTTGATGATGGAAAAGAATAGGTAGAAATAATAATAGGTTCTGATTATTCTTGAGAGTGTGGGTGGGTATGGTTGTAGGTGGGGTGTGGGTGGATGTGTGTCTTACCAACACACCCACATTCACGCCCACCCTACTCATGTATTTGGTACTTTATAGCTATTAGTTAGGTTTTGAACTTGAGATTTTCTACTATGATTTCAGAGAAAAAAAAGCATTACACCTAGAAATCTCTATTCAGACAAGAATCTCATGGAAGACTCATTAGAAAAATCTGTTAGAGCAATCCTTTGCGGGATTAAAGATGTGAAACACGATGGATCTGTTGTTACTAATTAAATGAAAATCGTTTTGTTCCATTTCTTTGCAATACCTTTGTAGCTAACTGTTTATCTGATGCTTTAGAACTACGGTTTCTCTGGCACAGTCTGTGATGAATGTAAAGCCTGTCTGTCACGGTTTGTGATGAATGTAAAGCCTGTCTGCTACAGTCTGTGGTCGGCTCAGACCCTGTGTGTCACGGTTTATGATGGGTACAAATCCTGTCTATTACGGTCTGTGACGGGAGAATTACCTGTCTGTGAGTGTGGGGTTTCGGTTTGGTTGGGGGTATGGGTGTGAGCAAGTCTCATGAAGCCATACAACAACACCCACACCCTCACAAATTCAATCACTCAAAAGTCCCTCAAAAAAATGATGCTTATATTATAGAATTGGTTTTCAATAGAATAATAAGAAAGTTTTATCAAAAAAAGGGCCCTCGCAGGAATTGCATTCTGGTATGCTTTTTCATACAAAAAAAATATTTGACTTTATATCGGATTATAATTGACTTTTTTGGTGGCCACGTCGTTCGACTGCAACTTTGAGAAAAAAAGAAAAAATTTTTCAATTTTTTAAAAACCGCTGGTGTTTCGAATAGGAGTTGTCAAAAATCTTTAAAGTTTTTGGAGAAAAAGGATATAATGAAGAAAAATTTTTATCGTTTATATAAGAACAAATGGCGGGCTATCACCCTATGTATTTATCTCACCTTCCATGACTCTGAAGAAAAGTGACTTTTTTGAGGGCGGGGGGGGGGGTTGCCTTAACCTTTACAGAAAAAAACTTTAAGCGAATTTCGTTTTGGCTCTGACACAAACACAAATACACACATACAAACTCATTTCTTTCTTCATATGATCGTTCCAACACTTGAGGAAATATTCTGTTTTTATAAAATATTTTCTTTTTATTCGGCAACGAATAATGTGTTCAAGTTTGAATCGAAACAATCTTCAGCATCATTTTGCAGATGTAATATTTTTAGTGGTTTATGACAGTTCTACAGTTAATAATTCTTGTAAATGCTTTCATTTTATGCCAAACTGACTCTTTTCATACGTGTATAAAGTGGTAGATTCTCAGAGATAACCAATGATAAAAATTTCTATTTTTTCAGCAGGAAAATATAGAATGTGAATATCAATTTTTTCTTCATCTGCAACGATGCATTCATGCCAATACACTCATCTTCCAAACCCATACATCTAAAACAAGATTAATTTCCACTTCTCTTGTGAACTCATTATGTGAAAGAGAAATTGACGTTCTGATTATGATTGCAATATTTTAATAGTTCATGAAGAACGACATTTTTAAGTTAGCAAGTCTTGGCTTGTCTTATTCAATTATTTAAGATCAATTAATATATTTATTACAATAGAAAATTCAAGAATTAGACTTTTCTTTTCGAATTAATTTAGTTAATAAGTAATATTGCGTATTATCATCGTTATAATTTATTTCGCATAATTTTTTTCATTAATGCATCGCATGCATATCATTGATACAACGAATATATGATGAAAATAGACACAACTAGAAATAGGTAAAAATTCAAAATCGAATTTGAAATCAAGGCAAAATAAAGGATATAAATCGTAATTAGTAGTTTTAAACGAATAAATCATAAAAATATTCAAACATCCAGTTTCGTTGCTTTACGTATTTGACTTCATTTTGTACCCATGTTTGAGATGTGTAATTGTTCTTCATTCTATGGTTGATTTGGCTGAATATGGAACAGTTTAAGTAAAGTTTTTTTAAATGTATTTCGAAATAGATGACAAGTTAGAGTAGATAGAAAAAATGATTTGACATTGATAAGATAGTATAAATTAATAGTGAGATACATTGCAAAAGAATCAATTATCCATTTCTCAGCACTCTTAACATTATCAAATGTAAGTGTAAAATAGATATACACACAAATCCATTGTAATGCAAGGAAACATGTAGAGAAAGCTTGTGCAAAAATCATAGTAATAAATTGATTTCGTGAACGATTAATGTTCATTTGTGTAGTTATACCCTAAAATAAAAACAATAACTATTTGATTTTTTGAATAGAGAAACTCGAATATACTCACAACTCGTTGACGACTTTGTCTGACTTTTCGATAGGTTAGTAATACAAGGATGAGCATGATTGTTGGTGTCAGAATACCATGCATGCAAATGTACAAGACACTACCAACGACTGGAATTATTGAAGAACATCCGATAACAGGTAAAACTTCGAAGGTAATCGGTACATGTAAGGACATAAGACAAGTTATTATTGTTGTGATAAGAATTAACCATGGTATCATTTTGAGTTTGTGAAGATGCCACATCAATGATGTTGGACCAAAAGAACAAGCAAATCGATCAATAAGAGACATTATCAATAAATTCATCGATAATTGAGGTAGAAAAGTTAGAAAAAATATCTTCAACTTACAATGAAGAGTATTTGATATATATGCGAGTGCATTCTTCCGTTCCGGATGAAAGTAATTAGGAAAGAGATTAACAAAAAGACTAATAATATCTATCAATGAACCACATAGAGTGTAAATACAACAAGGATTCAAACGAAGTGTCGGTTGAAGATATGTAAAAGTATTGCCGATGAATCCGATAAGACCCAAAATAGTAAACACTAGTGGCAATTGACTTATGATTCGATCTGATAGAAAGGTCAGAATAGTAATGATAGAAATTGATCGTGACGATGATAATGTGTCGATCAAGTCTGTTTTATTATTTGCAAACATTTTCTTGAAATAAATCGATAAAATATTTGTCTAAAATGATAACATTTGATGTTATATCTGTTCGCAACTGAATTGGGTAAATATTTTATTTGTGTTTATTTAAATTGTGTGAAGTGTGAAGATAAGTTCTATTTCATTTGAGACTTATTTGACTTTATATTTTATAATGAGAACTGTTCCAGCGTCTAAATCAATGCTACCTTTTATATTTCAAAAGTAATTAATGTTGACGCATAAAAGAAGGACAAAATTTTTCATGATTTATCCTCATTCTCACTTAGGCTAATCACTCTTCTCATTTAGAAAATCTTGGAAACACAGTTTGTCTATAATATATATGCCTGCTATAACCTAAGTCTTTGATGTTCCATAGAATATGTTCTAGTTATCTTAAATTCTTGTCAGAAAATGATTGAGCTAAATTTCTTGTAATAATGTTTTATCTGTATTATAGTCGACGACATCAAAAAGTTTTTATAGTAGAATAGATGTCATAGAAAATGAATTCAATTTTAGAGAAAAAACCTATGATTACAGTTGTTTTAGTTTGATTGCCAGATACACATCTTGTCTCTATTCAGGCAAGCAAATGATGGGGAAAACGAATAGTCTGATATCTAGTTCTGATAGCACGTTTAGTCTAGTCTTTCTCTCAATAAACGAATTCTACATGAACTGTCTGGAGTCGTTTGGAATATAAGACTCGTTCGAAACATTGTAAATTAAAAAAGAAAGAGCGTAGTTTTACTTAATGTTTTCTCAAGTGTTAATATTAATAAAAAATGTTTATTATAGAATCGCAAAGTAGTTATATATATGAAAATATTAAAAAAAAAAGGATTCATTTGGAATTTTTTACGTTTCCTTCAGAAGAAAATTATTCGATCTAAATCTCATTTTATCTTCATATCATTAGATTTTAAATTAAGATAAAATAATTTTCTCATAGAAAAGTACGAAATTTAGTTGTTCTAATAAAATTATTCTTAATAGTTATTAGAATCTAAAACTTTAAAGGACATAAATAGGCAAGTTTCGTCAGATTCTTTCTTCTAGTCTAGATATTAACAAGTCTAAATGAGTTACTTGGTTAATTAAGCTCAACTAAAAGAGACTATCTAAGAAGTTTAGAATATTCTGAATCAAAACTTTCATTAGCTCCTTAAAAAACGACTATTCATGAGTAGTCAGGCATCCAATATTGTCTGATCAAATGTTCAAATCTACCTATCTTCTTTTATTCTGCTCAGTCTTACCATTTTCCTGACGCATCTGGATAGTATGAGCAAACAATACGAGCTAGTCTATATTTTGTTGCAAAACTTTGAACGTCAGGACAACTAGTTTTGAAAAATCCCAACTCATTTCAGACTAGGCCAGAAGATAGCACAGACATTTGAGACCAATCATGTCGATCGTCTTCTATTATTTTTTGCTTACTTGGATAGGTATGTTATGTAACTTCTTTTTTAATTATCTTTATAATGAAGAATAGAAGCAAAGAAAATCTTTATATTTGAAAAGTAATAGTAAATTAATTAAAAGATCATTATTCTTTGTAAAACAGGCGTAAAGAAGAAACTCTCTACATATTTGAAAAATAATGATAAACAAATGAAAAAAGCATTATTCTTAATAAAATAAGCATAAAGAAAATTTTTCTTTATCTTCATAAATAAAGATAATATAAAGAATAAAGAATTTTCTTTTATTTTGTAAAATTATCTCATAAATGATGATCGTATTATATAATTAAAATATAATATACAATAGAATTTTTCTCATATATCGTTTCATGGGTAGTGTTTATTATTTGACAATATGACATAATGAAATGATGATGGTTGTAAGATAGGATACTACTTAACGTATTCTATTCTTATACAGAGTATTTGCATAAGTGCCTATTACATGAAGAAGGATAATTTTATTTTTCATATTAAATTCATTTTTACAAAAAAAGATTGTCTTTATGTTTTGTTTTTTTTATAAAAATTACAAATTTCTTTATTTCTTCATCTTTTCTTTATGTCTAACAAAAAGGTAAACTATAACCCCGCCACTTGTATGGCCAAGTAGAACTTGTCAGAACATTACATCGAATATTTTTTGACGACAGTAGTTCGAAGAATATTATAAGATATCAAAATAAAAGTTCGTATTATAATTTGTAATTATTCCAAGAAAGAACAAATATATCGTGTAAACTTTTTTTAATTCTTCAAGTGTAGGAAGAGTCATATAAAAACAATCGGTTGTGTGTGTATGTGTGTATGTGTGTATGTTTGTGTCAGGCTCAGAAGAACATCAGGGTTTAAAAAATACCCATTTAAAGTTCTTTTCTATTAAAGTTGACAAAAGTAAATCGAGATCCGAGAATCCGAATCTCGAGTCAGTTTCTCAAAACCTTGAATTGATTTTTTTAGGTTCAGGGAAAATGTTTTTTTTGAGAAAATAATAATATTGTTTTGAGTGTAGGAAGAATTATATGAAATAAAATAAACATTTGTTTATTATTGTCAGAGTGAAAGATGAAACGTCATTAAAACAACCTGCGCTAAGTGTTCGATATTCGCACTTTTCATATTGGGCTTTTTACCAGTCCGATTTTTCAAACTGAAACTTCAGTTAACCCGATGTATGTGATAAGTTCTTCTTTAATCACCTATTTTATAACTAGGTTTCCACGGATGAGGCTTATTTATAACTGAGTTTCTAAATAGTGATGTTTTTTATAGGATTAATCTAGTTAGACAGACATTTTCGGTATGGAATTCGAGAAAAGATGAGTTTTTTGTTTGTAGTGAAAGAGATGGGTTTTGTTTTCACAACTTATACTAAAGGTTCTTTCATGTTTTTAAATCTATCATCTGAGCTAATATATACGTACATAGATAGACGTGGATCCCAAACTTCAACCTGATATTAATTTATTATATGTTATAACTAGTATTATGAAAAGTGATACATTTAAGATGTCATGTTTTCGAGAATTCTAATGTGTGCAATGTCTAGCTACTGTTATTTGAAGAAAATATTTTGGAAAGGTTATTTCCTGAAATGTTGCGATTCGTTGAATAAACCCCAATAGTCGATATGAAATGGGCCTGTAAAAGATATATCAGATGCAAAAAGCTGACAAAAATGAAGCTATTATTCAAGGATGAAAAATAGCTTTTATGTTTAGACATAATAAATGAATAGTTTGTTAGACGAAAACCATCATTGAAAGAATTTTTATCTGCTGTACCGTTAGTGAATATGAATGAAATAAGGGTGGGGGTGTATGGGTACGTGTGTGGGGTGTGATTGAGGGTGTTAATCTTCTTTTTAGACACCCATATCCACACCCACACCCACCCTTGACGTTGTAAAACCTTCAATTGCTTGCTGCTAAAACAAAATAGTTATCACGCAATACGTAGCAATTATGAAAAATGAAGATAATAAACTATGTAATTGCTAAGAACAACTCATAGTATTATAGTACCTAGGGTTATCCAAAAATAGTAGCGGAGGTTCTTTTTTTCTTATAGAAAGCTTGAAAATTTTTTATTTTTTTATGAATCGATAGAGCGTCGTTCACTCTATCTTTCTATGCTATTTTATCACTGTTAAATTAATACCAAAATAATAAAATCTCGATAAAAACTATTTTTGTTGAAAACCAGCTGGTAACATTTAGATCATTATGAGTGTGGTTTAATAAATGGAACACTTGCATTTCATTTTATTATCACTCAATACATTGTATTAAAGAAACACAAAATATGCTAAAAGATGCAGCGTGAAAAGCTCTACAATATATGAAGTAACGCTTATTTTATAGTTGTACATTTTGTTTTAAAAATGAATAAAACTCTGAGTTACCGAGTTTCGACGTGATGAAAACGAGACCTTTTTTGGTAAAAAAAATGAACTCAGTTTTTTTCTGTCTTTTCTTTGTATCATTGTTCTTTGTAAATTGTAGAGCTCCTCACGCTGCATCTTGCAGTGTATTTTGCTTTTTAAAATAAAACATATCAAGGAATAAAAAAATGAGACAGAAAAAATGGAATTAATCTTTTACCAAAAAAATAATCTCACTTTCGCAACGTCAAAATTTGGTAGCTCAATGTTTTGTCCATTTTTAAAAGAAAAAATACAACTTTAAAATAAGCGTTACATCTTATATTGTAGAGCTTTTCACGCTGCATCTTTTGGTAAATCCTCTTTTCTCGATACAACGTATTATGTGATAATGTAGTGGAATGCAAAAATGCCACATCCATTATGATTTAAATATTACCAGCTGGTTATCAACAAAAATAGTTTTTATTGAAATTTTATTATTATGATATTAGTTTAGCAGCGACCAAATAGCATAGAAAGATAGAGTAAAAGACGCTCTATCGATTCATAAAAAAAGAAAATTTTTTCAAGCTTTTTATAATAAAAAAAAGAATCTTCGCTACTACTTTTGGATAACCCTAAGTATATATATCTATGAACAAATCATTATTCTTATATTGAAATTACACACTTAATACCAACACTTTTACTCTTAGATGCACCAAAAAACATAACTTATTCTTTGAGATAACATCATACTACTCTTCATTTTATAAAAGAAATTAATTTCATTGCGAAAAATCCAAGAATAAAAGCTATTGATGATGCTAATTTGCTAATATTCTCAAAATTATACAAATTTATCGATTTGCTTATTTTCAGAATATTAGCAAATGAAAATGATTTGCAACTTTTGTTTGAGGCGTTTTTCTATTAAAATAAAATTTTTTATAAAATAGGTTGAAAAACCTAACAACAAAGTTAAGTTCAAGTAAAAGCTACATCTACGAATAAAATAATGAACAAGCTTACGTTTTTCGATTTAGAAGGACGATTAAACGAAATTGAACTCTCAATTTCACCTGTTATGGGCAAAAGACGAGACTGACGTTCTCCATCAATCTTTATTATTTGTAAAAAAAAACCATTGCTTTTTTTTGTAGAACAAATGATGCAAACTTACTTTTTATTTGTTGGTTTAGCTGATGAATCATTATTCTCATCATTGTCGAACTCACTACCAAGTGATTTACGTTGATCATAACTAATTATTAGCAAAGAAAAATATAGTTCCCGGGTTATAAATGATTCAAAAACTCACAATTTTGTACTTGTTATTGATGTTGAACCTAAAGTATTACTACTATTTATACGGTTACATTTATTTTGACTTTCGTTCATAAAAGAATTTTTATTTTCATCTTCTGAATGTTCATCACCAACAAGTATTTCATTTGAACCTTCAGATGTATCAGTTTCTTTAGTCTTATTGTTCGAAATGATAATTGACGTTTTGTTGGTATTTTTTAAATGTTTAGAAAAATTTGATATTTGAAATTGACCATATCTAGAATATAATTTAATTCTATCCCCGCATACACATTGTATGACACAAGTTGGTATATTATCATCATTTAGATTATTAAGGAAAATTTTAAAGTCATTTACTGATATATTTTCCTGAGTAATACCATGAATAGTATTCTTCATATTGATTAACATTTTCATAATACATTGCTGTATATATTCATAATTTTCTTTTGAGTTGACATCACCACCACCTCCACTGCTATTTGTTGATGATGATAAAGATCGACGACTATTTGTTCTAGTTTGTTGTGTTAGAGATAAAAATTGATTTCTTTTTCGAATAATATCATGCGCTGATTTTAATAATAAAATTAGCTTTCCTTTGGTACCAATTTTTATTGTTACTTTGTTTTCAAATGTGTTGCAAACCTCCTTTTTGTAAAGCAATAAGTTGATCAGAAGAATTTTTATTATTTGATTGTTCAAGTACATCGAGTATATCATCTTGATTAATACTACCCAAAATTAAAAAACTATCAGTATCGTGGAATCTAACGATTTTTTCAACATTTTTTCCATAATGTACTTCAATATATTTATAAAAATCTTCGCCTGTAAGTCTGAAGAGTTCTTCAATTTCTTCATCAACCATGGTACGATTGTAATATTTTGAAAATATTAAATTAATAAACAGCAAATCAGTAAATCTGAAAAAATTCAATTCAATTGATATTAATATAATTTTCAACAGTCAATGTTCTCGGCTTCTTTTTTATACCCAATTTTATTTAATACAATCAATCGATTAGTTAGAAATGCTTATCATTCAAAAATAGTTCTGAATCAGTAATTTTAATGAGTGAGTGTACCCAGCTAAACAACGGGTGTGGTGCCCTAATAAAAAGATATTTACACACTGTTTTACACGCTGGTGAAAAAAGTAGCGTGCACATTGTATACACCGAATTGTTTTTTACACTTGGATTTTTCTATTATTGTTCATGCTTTTCTTGTATGTACAAAAATATAATTTATATACTGGACACCATAAAGATTTTATTGGTAGACTCGATTTAATTTGACATAAAACAATAATTGATGCGTTACAGTCATTTGTATTGAAACGTGTCGTTGTGGATTCACAACGTTATCATTTAAGAAAGTTCGTGGATCCAAAAATGAAATGAAAAAATTAAGATAAAAACTACAAGAGTATATTTTGCTCTTACAATTTTCATTTTAGATTTTATTTTTTATTTTTTTATGCATTCATTTTCTTAACTAATGATGTTGTCAATGAACAACGGCATTTTTCAGTATAAATGATCAAAATCTCTTAAATTGACGTAAACGTCGCTTAACTTCTATTTTTAGATGCGATACATAAAAATTTATTACATAGTTGAAAATTCGAATTTGAAATCTATCTATTTATGTATCAAAAAGCGTTTTCTGTTTTGTATTATTTTTTAAATACTTATGGATCTACAATTGCTAATAAATATTTAAAGTTTCATAACAATATCAGTTGATACTTTTCATTCTGTCAGTCTTTTTTTTTGTAATTTGAGAACTATTTATTTTTGATTTTCTTTTCAACTCATCCTGTCTTCATCAAAACGAAAATGAAATGAAAGTTTTTCCAATAAAAAATGTCTTTTATAGACAGAAAAAAGTTTTGCCTTTCTTTTACATTGTGTATACTTTGCTACAAAAAAACCAAGTGTACAGATATATGCTGCTCTTAAAAACATAGTGTTAGCATACATTCTATTTCAGAGTCTCATTAAAAACATTGGTTCTGAATAGTCCCTAGTAGTTTAGAAACGAACAGTGAGTTGCCACACACATTATAATAATAGCGTGCTCCTCTTTTGGATAGTAACGTGATCCTCATTCATTACAATCTTACCATGTCAGAATTAATAATAACGATGTTGAAAATTATTCCTAAACATTTGCCAATAGACTTTGAAAAGCCAAAACATTTGACAAAACGAAAATTTTAACTCTCCTGTTGTATCATACTATAAGATTAGATATGAATAAATATTGTGGTTCGGAGTTTCATTGTAACTACTAACAGCATGCTTTTATTTTCTGCAAAGAAAACTTAATTATGAACTTGTCTTTTGTCTTGATGATACACAATACAAATTATATAGTCACTTTAATACAAGCTTTTAGTCAACTAATTTTTTTCCATATGCACTCTTTTCAACTATTTAAACTAAATAGATTGATCAGTAATATACGATAAACTGAATTTTGTACATCAACCTGATTCAACAAAATTATTTTCCGATAAGTACTATACTTATACTCAAATGACCGACACTCACTCTATGCGCACACAACAATGTACATGAACGATTATTGTTTGAAACAAAATAAAAGAATTTTTTAAGATGCTTGTAGGATAGATCACGTGTAAAAATTATTAGCGGTGCTACGATGAAGACAATAGGGCCATCCAGCTTATAATGATATTTTCTTGTCATAAATCTAATTAAATGCATGATACACAATATTGCATCTCCCAACTTTGAACAATAGCATTCATAGGCAAAAATTCAAAGGGAAAAAAAGCGAGACTTCCTACTTCTGAACTACAAGTGAAGTACAAGTTCAGTAGGTTAACGTACAAATGAAGAACAGTGAAGAAGGTGAAGTACGAAGTCTCGCTTTTTCCTCCCTTATGAAAATATCATACTGCTGTAAAAGAAAATTTACACGCCACCATACTTTAAGTGTCTTCCCTGTGCTTCACTCGTACTGACGGTACTTCAAATTTTTTTTGAGGTAGAAGAAGTCTTGCTTTTCCCCCCTTGTATCTGCTCTTATGTGTATACTACAGATACATATGTTTTATTAGTCTTTGTGCTCACAAAGCCGAAGTATCATTTTGCGATAATTTTCGGGAGGTTGTAGCTCTTAGTTGAAGTAAGCTGTAATATTCTAAAGTCTGTCAAAATATGACGAAGATATTCAATGTTCCCCTTGTCTAATGACATATGGAACATCTTATACCATGCTCAAGCCCAAATAAACTTAGATAATCGAAATTTTCCATGTTTTTCGTTTAAAGACGAGCACTTCATTTCTTCATCACCTAGCTGAATTTGTTTGTGTAAGTATAGCTCTTAAAATTTTAACTTTTCAAAACTTTCTTTATATGACAGTTGTGCCAAGGATGATTAGAAAACGATTTACAAATGAAATAATAATCTAGCTGTTTACACGATAACTTTTGAAAGGAGAGTGAGATCTTGATGAAATTTTCTATTCAGTATTATCTCATCAATGTCTCGGTTGAGTTCGAAGATGAAAATGATTCGTTGAGCCATTGCTGAGTTATGGCGAAAAAGTTATTTTTCTTTTCTATCCTTTTTCTCGAAGCTTTTCTATGCAATTATTTCTTACTGTTTGAAGTACATATAACACTCGGATTTTAATCCGAGGTTTCCACATTTATTTTAGATTCTGTTTGAAATTTTCATTACAAATGTTAAGCAAACGTTAAAGAAGGATGTGAGTATGAGTATCAAAAATAAACCGATGCTGACATCCATACCCTCCAGTAAATACTATGTTTTAGCTTTGATCCTGCAAGCACACTCTAGTCCTTCAAGACATTTTTGATTTAACAGTTTAGAAGAAAAACTACAAATGTAGATCTACATTTAGTCACATTTGCACTATCAAATTATAAACTTAATCGATTTTAAATGATAAGTTTAGCACAATGTAAGATAAAATTGCATGTCACAGTAACTAAGAGATTAATCGAAATCCAAAAATTCTTCTTGAATTAGCTATTTATTCCAAATTAACACAATTGAATATACACGCCCTCTTTTCTTTCATTTTTCTGTACGTCCATTTCCCAAACCATTTCTTCCTTGCATACCTGTAAATGGACTTGTGTATATTTGTTTTTCTTTAGCTATTGCCTTTCAGCAATAACATTTTCATTATGTGCGTATTTCACAATATTTTACGCTTCAGAGTCACGTCATAAAAAATTTCATTCCGGTTATTTACTTCCCCATAACTGCATACAAAATTATCGGTGTAATTCGTTATAGAACTTTTAATAGAATTCGTGAATAAGAAGAAAATGAGTATTCCATTAGTCGACCGCTGCATTGAATGTCTACTTTGTCATATGATTGGGGATCAGTTAGGAGCTGGTGTCGAAGGTTACTCAGCTGCCAGAATTAAACGTGAGCTTGGAACAGTACGCGATGATATCAAAGCCCCCCATATGGGCATTCCAGAACTTGGGCCTCGTATTCACATGTATACGGACGACACAAATAGCATGCTCGCACTAGCTCATAGCCTTGTTATCAATGGCGGCCTGAAAGCCAAACATGCAGCAAAATCTTACGCTCAGTTTTGGTCAACTGGAAATAAACGAGGCTATCCAGATTCTGCTCAAGCAAGTATGCAGGTCAGTGTGATGTCTTTTTTTCAATCTTGTTCAATTTCTTAGTAGAAAGCAATCCAAATATCAGCGACAGTCCATTTAAGATAAGCTAAAAACAATGAAATAGACTTCTCAGGATCATTTCGAACATTGTTTCTTAAAAAGTCACATCGGATTGTAATTGCATTCTTGCAAAACAAATAACAGGAATGCTATAATAAATTGTCTAATAAATCCCAAGTTCTCTGAAAGTAAATTGTATAAAAGCATTTATCAGTAATTGCCAATTACAATCAAAGTCAAGAAGCTTTTTCTCAACTTTGACGTATAGCTAGCTTTAAGTTCTATGTTGAAATTCGAATGTTGTTGAAAAAAAACGAACGTAATTTTTAAACGATAGAACACCAGACTCTATAGACGAATACTGAATGTTAATATTCACTATGAAAATAGATCTAAAGAAACTTAAATAAACTGAATCATTTTTAAAGTCTGAGTATATTTTCATGATGTGATAACTTTTCAACAGATTGACTCATTTCGCTTTCTTATTTTAAAACTGAAATCCAGCATACCGTTTTACTCGATAGGTTCAAAAGTATTCTGTGATAGGTTTTTCTTTTACCATTGAAAAACAAAGGTTAATCAATATATATATGAAAAATGTTATTGCATATTCCTTTGATGTAGTGTGTACTGGATGAGAAGGTCGATTATCGTGAATGTGGCCGTATTAGCTTTCCTGATGGATAGTTTGCCAATGGTAGAGCAATGCGAATAGCTCCACTTGCTCTCGCCTTTCGTGATGCATCTGATGAACAACTCTATGAAGCAGTTCGTATGGCTATTATCTCTTCACATGTACATCCTGAAGGTATAGATGGAGCATTTATTTTGGCTAAAGCAATTATCTTAGCTCTTCATTGTGAATCAGTTGATGTTTTCGATTCATCTGAATATCTCAACATTCTACAAAAGACAGCACGAACAAATGATATGCAGACTCAGCTTACAAAGTTGATTGCACTCTATAACAAGCAGTATGGTACAACTGGTACGAATCGAACAAAAAGGTATTTATTCAAAAAATTTCCGATTACAATATCGTAAAATCGGTATACCCAAGTTTATATGATAGATCTCGGACAAAGTCCATGAAAATAAAGGTATTGAAGCTAGTTGAAATATACTGCTTTTGAAAAAGAGAATGTTAGACCACTATGGAGTATGAAGAGAGAAAACTTTAAAAGTAAAATTTTTATTGTTTCGAGTGTATTTTGTAGAACAGATTATGAAGTAGTACGATATTTCGGCAGCAGTTTTCAAATCAAAGCAATTGAAGCAATCCCATGCGCTCTATGGATTGTATGCACGAGTTATCGTGAACCAGAAGAGTGTCTTGTTCGTAATGTAAACATGGGTGGTGACACTGATACCGTGGCAGCAATTATCGGAGATATTGTTGGTGCTTTGCATGGCTGGCAATGGATTCCTTCTCGATGGTACGATAATATAGGACCGAATTCCGACGAGAATTTGGGTAGAGGAAAAGACTATGCCGTTGATTTAGCCAAGAAACTAGCCGAAATAAATTTGAATCATATACTAGATGACGATGATTAATTGAAGAAATAAATTCTTATATGTTTTAAGATGTTTGAAATACAACATTAGTCACAACTACAACCTCGCTTCTTTTTTCGATTCAGAAGAAGTTAAAACAAATTAAACGTGTCTCTTTGATTCAGTATTTTCGATCGATAAATTATTTTGAATATCACTCAACAAAGACATGACTCGTTTCAATGATAATTCCATCGGTTTCAGTTGAGTGTGATTGTTCGTCAATATCTATCGGTGAATGATCTAATATAGGTTAATATCATCATCATTATGTTGTCTAATACTGAATAGGTGTAACCTTCACGCTCGTTGATCTTCATCAAATTTTAAATTCAATAATCAAAAATAAAATTACTGGCTGATACGGGTGTTTATTATTAATGGATAAGTAATGAGAAGGGTTTATTAGAAACCTTCAGAGTCTTTCTACAAGATATGGTCCATGTATGATAGCCTAAGGTTTAAAGTAATGTTTAACCTTTTCCGTTTTTATATAATATCATTCATGCATCAAAGCTACGGATGAGATGAGCTACTGACTTATCGCATTTTTCTTACCATAGATTCATTTTAATTAAAGAGGAACGTCATTTTATTAAAAAAAAACCAAACCAAATATTGGTTATGCCTGAGATGATGACTTAGCGAAGTTACATTTTTTCATGCATTTTTCAGTATTTTAAACGATGAAATAGATCTTTTCACAATGAGGTATATCTACATTTGCTATGTATATATACACACATTTTAATAACGATACTATAATTTCACTATTTTTCTTCTTAATAATGCTGTTGGTTTTTCTCGTTTTATTTCATATTTTTAAATTTTTCTCACGAGACAAGTGTGAATTTTCAGAATTCGATCTCTATTATGGAGCTCTTTAATTGAAATAGCATTGTGTAAAGATCGATGGTGGAATGGTCAACCACATACACAAACACATCCATGTCCAATCCTTGATTTTACAAAGTTTTTCTTTTATAGAGTCTCTGTGTGACTAAATTTTAATACTTGACCATCACCAATGAAGAGACAGAGAAAACCACTTATAATTGTTTTTTATCTGTTACATTCAATAGCAGGATGCATGCAATTCGGTACAGAAACGCATAACTACAATGTAGTTATTAAAATAGAGGCGACATGGGGAATTTCTTCTATTAATGATCATGCTTTTTTGTTGCACAGCATGGACGTTTCCTTAATTATGAACGAAATTCTAATTCAAAAAGAAAACGATAATTAACAGTGAAATGGCACCCGATGAAAACATTGCATGAGAATGTTTTCAGATGTAAAGCAAGCACGAACAAATTCTGATCACTCTTCATTTATTTGATTTTGCAATCATAATATAACAAACGTAACTTGCAAGACATAATAGACCTTCTTACATATTGACTAAGGCAATAAAAAAGAGCTATTTTTCTTCATATGTCTGTGACTACCACAACTTGATCATTAGAATGCTTAGCAAAATACTTACTTAAATATTGTTTAGAAAAATAATTAGGAAATCCATTAAAAGTGAATTTTAAGAGTTGGGAGAGTTTGTCAGAATTCAAGAAACCGTGAGAATACGAGTTTAAGAATAAAAGAAACATCAACCTTTTTAATAAATGATTAAGAAGAGTGAAATATTGAATTCTGCACTATCTTTCATAGATGCAAAGTACCATTTTTGTTTTCATCATTAAGTAAAACAGCTGGAAACGAAAGAATAAGAAGCACATAACCGATGTGTTAAATTTTCTTGTGCCTTTTTATCAGCGATTCATTAGATTCTAAAATGTCATCATCAGATGTTTACTATATTGCATACATTAATAATATTTCAACTGAAATTTATCGTTATTTCTCAATTTTCATTTTTCTCTTTGGTGCATCTGGTAATATTCTAAATATTCTTGTTTTATCACAACGATCTTTTCAAAAAAATTCATGTGCAATACTTTTTCTGGTCTCATCTGTTGCTAATTTTGTTGCTATCCTTTCTGGTCTTACTTCACGAATGTTGTCTGCTTGGACAGCTGATCTAACAAGTACCGATAGATTTCTTTGTAAATTTCGGTCCTTTATTCTTAACGTAGCAAGGGCAGTGGCATTTTGGCTCATACTATTGGCAGCTGTAGATCGGTGGCTATTATCAAGTGCCAACGTTCGCCTTCGCCAAATCAGTACATTGAAAAATGCACAAAGAGGTATAGTTATCATAATAATCTTCGCTACAATTCTCTTTTCACATATTCTATATTGTTATGAGCCAAATATGATTAATGCCCCTCTGAAATGCTACGGAATAACATTGACATGTCGTTTTGTCACAGATATATCTCTTACATTTCTTACCACTCTAATTCCGATTCTGCTAATGTTCGTCTTTGGTTTAATGACCATTAAGAATATACGTCACTCACGAAGTCACATTCAACCTAGAGATACATCAGTTACAAATGGTATATCGCTAACAAACGCAAATCAACGACAACAACGAAACAAGACCGATTCTCACCTTCTTCTTATGCTTCTCGCACAAGTTGTTTTGCTCTTTATATTTGGTCTCCCATTGGGCATGCAAAAACTCTACGCAACTATAACAATGAATAGAAACTCATCTGCATTACAAGTTGCTATCGACAATTTTGCCTATACTCTTGCCGTACTTTTTAATTTTTTGGCCAATGGAATGCCATTCTATATATATACATTATTTGGTGGAAGTATATTTCGAACAGCATTTATCAAAATGTTATTAGCAGGAAGAAAGAAAATCTGTTGCCAATGAAAATTGCTTCACATATAAAATACAGAACCTTCAACCTAGTACATTTGTCATATTAAATGCTTAAAAAATAAAAACGAACCATTAAAACAAACGCATGAATCTTAAAGTAACGCTTTATGACGTTGGTCGAGATAGGTAGCCATTTTATAAAAATTATTCAAAATCGTAAAAATAAACGATAGTCTCAAATTACTGTGGTAATTGTGTTACTAGGTTTTATTGATTTGTTGCGCGTAGACAAAAAAAATGATTCACTGACACTCAACATCAATGCCGACACCTGATTTTATGCTCGATTCACAACAATAATAAAGAAAATTTGGATTTCGAGCAATAACTGAAACAGATAGATTGCTGGCCACAAGATGCTTATATTTTTTTGACAACGTCTCTAGAGTAAACGATAGACATAAATGAAATGTTTCTCTAGAAAAAAAGGATGTGGGTGAGATCTAGATATGAATTAAGGGATGATCATTATTTCCATCAGATTCACATATCCTTGATTACGAGAAATTTATTCTCAACTTGTTATGTTTATATTTTCATTATTATTAGAAAAGATATTGCATAATAATATGCTATTTGAAAGACTGAAATGAGTACTCAAGACATATATTATATCTGTTTCCGTAAATATGTTTCACTGAAAAACTTTGCTGCGTCACAAACATTTGCAACTAAACACGCTTTGAAAGTAGATTGGAGAAGTAGGTACTCGAGCATATCATTGTCACTTCGATGAAATAATTTTCTATGCAGTCTGATCCTGAAATCTTTCCTTTATTTTGTTTCTGTCAATAAAACGATCAAAGTTTCTATTGAAAAAATCCATATGAAAAAGAAGCATCTTTTGGTACTAACTTGAATGATGATTCTGATTTCGGATGTAATTTCATGAAAATCAAAGTTCATGCTTTGAAAACATTTGTGTATGTTCAGTTGGCCTGATGGTAAAGTTACTTGTTTAGATAAACAATTGTTATACAATTGGCTATTCGACTAATCGGTGCATTAGTTTAATTATAACTCGGGAAATATTACCCGATCATGATAACAAACATCGTTCGCACGAGTCTCTCTTGAGAGCTGATGATTTCAATAGATTATAAATTTTTTCATGCATTCAAACTCTCGAGCATTGTTGTATCAACATTAATAAAAATTAATCAATTCAAGTCGAATAATCGAGAGAGATTAATATCATGGATATATGAAGATAATAAGAAATAAATATTCTTGAATGTGTATTAACACGTTTCTACTTGTCTATGATACTTGTAACAATGATTTGACATAATCAAAGGTTTTCGTTTAGAATGATAAGATGATTAGAATCCATTTGATTGATTAGTCGCATTCTTGTAGCTGGGAAAAGACTTTCATCTTCTGTTCTGCAATATAAATGAGTACAGATAGACTTTCCAGTTTTACATTCGACACAAAACAATGTTTTTACACCTTTCTTACCGAGAATATTCTCCTATTCAAGTAATTTCCGTGATTTAGTGCGGGAACTATACGTAGAGTGAAAATAAAGTTGAGAGAGAACAGAACGATAATAGAACTCACCTAAATACTCACCAGACAAACTCCTTGCTGGACTTCGTGACGGAAATGAATAACAAAGTAATTCAAAAAAATGCATTATAAAATAATTCAAATTCCATTATTATGTTCCAACTAATTGACCGGGCACTATCAGGTACTACAACACCCACACCCACACTTAGTTTTTCTTGAAAAATTTGTTGAGTTGAACAGTTATGCAAAATAATTTTTCAGAGTGAAATTAGGAACTGAGAACTTCAATTTGATTTTGAGTCAAAAACAAATCAATGAATTCATCTTTCTCTAAATACAGTGCTGGACAAAAGTTCTAGGACAAACTTTTCACTTTTATAATATTTTATTAACAAGCTACTATGAGCAACTGGTGATGTGCTTTGATAGATCTAATAGCGATCTCTCATATTCTGTTATAGCATTATAATTGCACGTTTCTGTAGCAAGCTATATAAATTCGAATATGAGTCCATTGGCCAAAAGTTCTGGGACAAGGTAGGAATATTGCATTGAATATTGAGTATTATATACAAAAATGATTAGATAAAGCTGAAAATTTCAGAATTTATAGTTCTTAGAGAGACAGTATTGTTGATAAAAGATAATTTCGAAAAATTTGTTAGCATCATAATTTGCTGAGATTAGC